CATTCGACACTTGACAGATCAGTGAAAAGTTTCGTGAAAATATGTGGGAAAATGTACACGTATTTAACCGAGTTGTATATGTGTATTTATGTCTACATATTTATAATTATAAACACAAAATGAATCACCGATTATGGAGTATGGTTTCCGTGCATGATCGCATATCATACATGGACGTTATACTTCCTTATTTTATTGAGAAGCTCGATCTCGAGTTTTTTCCCCAGACAATCTTCTCGTCCTTATAAAAATAAAAAAAAAGGAAACTTAATCTGCTGTTTCACTATCGTTTTTATCTACATCGAACTCCATGATTAATTTTTTTCACTCTCTATTTTTCATTACTATTCTCCTGTCCTCAATTCAACTTTTCGGAAATATCGCTAATTTCGTCAGTTTTGGACAATGGACTCACGTCGTATTTTTTTCCAGTATCGCCATATTTTTACCAAATAAAAAAATTATGGATTTTATTTAAATGAAGTTAATGAGATTAGTTGATAGAAAAAATGGATTGAATTACACAATGCTCCATAACTCGGTCTTTCTCTACAGCGTTATATATCGCTTTTATATACATCTCATAATGCTAAACACACGCATCAAGCTCGTGTCCCGCATTTTTTCCTTCGCGATCAGACAATCCCACCGTCTCTCGTTAGGAACCTATGACGGATTACGCGAGATTACATCTCGGCTCGAGCAAAACTCGACGCGCAATAATAAATCTACGCGTATAGTAAACGAATATATCGTTTCTTAACACACTTTGCATTACATTAGTTACATTTATGTACACACATACGAATGCAATAAGAAGTAGAACACTATTCCCATTGTTCTCTTAAATGTACAATTTCGCAATTAATAATCTTTAAATAATAATAAATAATTGTCCGCAATATTGACGAATTCTTTGATTTGAAAAAAGAAAAATCTCATTTTTGCAAAAATTCCAGAAAGTTGTATTCGCAATTTTTTATTCCTTCTTCTTTCTTTTATATGATTAAATAATTTATATGTATACATATATATGTATGTATATATGTATGTATGTATGTATGTATGTATGTATGTATGTATGTATATATACATACCACACACACACACACACACACACACACACACACACACACACACACACACACACACACACACGCACGCACACACACACACACACGCACGCACGCACGCACGTACGCACGCACGCACGCACACACACACACACACACACACACACATTTATTTATTTGTTATAAATATTATTTTTAAGCCAAAGCATCTTTTTGATATGGAAATAAGTAATCACATATTTCTTCATGTGCAACAATATTTTACAAAAAGAACTGAATAAAAAACTATACAATGTATCTTCTTCAAATTGTATTATCTATTTTCATTTTACAATGGGAATAGATTTCTTCTTATCAAATTAAAATCGATTAATTGCGTCCGTTTACGACAATGCTAACCTCAAATTCGGAGAAAGCTGTGCGTCAACGTTTGATGGTACTCATGCGCAGAGTACCAAAAACAAGAACTAGGCGGAAGAAAAAAAAATGAAAAGAGTAAGATCATCCGCGCAGATCTCTCATGATATCTTTGTATTACTCGACTCCGGTTACATTGTACTAGGATTTGGTTAAATTGACGTTATACAACTAATTAGCTTCCTAATTAGCTTCGTGGCACGTTGGGCACTATCTATCTTCCAATCTCAAATTCACGCATGAACTCCAACGATCTCCATAGTCTTTTAGAGTCTCTATTCTCTTTTCGTTTTCGAGTCGATTTATGCATTCACATGCATCCAGACAATCTAGATCGATTCGCGAATCGTCTGGAAGTTATAGAATTGCGCAACATGGATCTTATCGTCCACGTTTTTCGTGTCTCCGCTCGAGTCGACTCAATCGACTCGTCCAGCGAGAGACCTTATAGCTACACTATACATTCTGTTTTTCGCCCGCTTTTCTTCAATGTTACAGTATAGGCATACGCACATCATTTGCGTTTCTGCTCGAGCCGACTCGCGACTCTCACATGCATGGAGAACTGCACGACGCAGACGTAGGATACGTAGGAAACATAGAACAATTCTGTCCACGCGAAATCGAGCGATCTCAAAAGCTTCGAAAAAGAGCATCAGAACGTCCCGTTCTCGAAACTCTCGCTCATGGACGCAATCGCGAAGATTTTCACGGGCACAAACGATGAAGTTCTCGTCCAATCCCGGCTCCGTGAGATCTCCGAGACTCTCGTTAAGTACTAGCTCCACTTTTTTGGCTATCGATCTGTCTTTCCTCAACACGCATAATAATCGCACGATAATCGTTGATTTCGTTACATCGTTTTGAACAATATCTAGAATCGTAAAAAGTATCACTGTGTGACGATATCGCACGATCAGGATTATTTATATCGTGTAAAAATAATTTGAGAATTAAACAATGCGAGTTCGTCTCAGCGAAGTTATTTTTTTACAGGAGCCTAAAAAGGTTTCGCTTATTCTTCTAAACGATATGTAGTCGACGCAGCAAAGAAACTGTTAGACTTCGATTGCCTTTCATCGCAGTTTTCGACGAAATTTTTTTCAGGACATCAAATTGTAATTCGTTTCTCAAAATATCGTTTGCTTTTATCCATTTATCATCGCTTTGCCTTATTTTTTTCTTTTTTTCCCTTTAAACTATCTATAACATTAAATCTTAAACATCTATCCTATCTATACGTATATACAGATGTTCAATACGTCCTCAAAAACGATGGATCTTGAAATATATGTACTATGAATTATAATATATCGATGACATTTTCTCGAAAGGGGGAGGAAGTCAGTTTCTTTTTTTTGGTTTTTCGCTCGATTGTTTCTCTCTTATTAATTCTTCTCTCTCCTTCGTTTTCTTTCACTCTCGCCCCTTTCGCACACGCGCACATACACACATATACACATAGCAGTAACGACGACACACGCATACATTTCGCGAATCACTCTTCTTACATTTTGCATTACGTCACACACACACACACACACACACACACACACACACACACACACACACACACACACACACACACACACGCGGGAGGGGTTGGCGCAACCCTTCTTAGGAACCGAGCGGGACAAGCGAACGGTCGTAATTTTTCAGGCATAAAGATTCGCGTCTCGCTCATCATTTGGATAAATCTTAGTCGGAGTGTGAAACTCTACAAAACTAGAAAGCAATCAGACCGTATCGCGTGATAAAAAATTCCAAGAGACTACAATCTGTTTCACATTATACATCACAGATTTTGTTCGTTTTGTATTAGAAAAAAAAAAACGAATACTTTGGCTATTAAAACATATCTGCATATATTCTTTACATATCTCTTTTTTTCCTACAAGAGGCTCGGTAGAAATGAAAGAACAAAGCGATCCTTTGATTATCAGATAATTTCAGAAGTCAGTGCTTTTTTTAAGTAAATTGTATTATTCGATTCTAGGTTATTTATTTAATTTATATTAAACATCATATAATTCAATATCATAAGCAATACGGTCCAAATATTCCCTGTTTTCTATTGATTGCTTTTATCGTGTATTCTCTTTGTTTTTCTCCCTTTCTCTTTCATCAGTTTACACATGTATATATAGATATATATATATATATTTTTTCGATATAATATATATATTCATTTATTCGTATGCCTATATGCTTATATATGTACAAAACGTTAAATGACTCTGGATATGACTAAATGATTTTTTTTTCTTTTTAATGCTCGCACACGGAGAACGAGTTCCCCTTCAACTTATATCATTATACTCTTTCGTCTTTTTTTTCAGTAGTTTCTTGTTCTCATCACCTAAAAATTAAGTGTATTTCTATTACGAAATTACAAATGCGTAAAGCGTATTGCATTGCCTTCCCCCAAACAGCACGCCTTCCTAATTTTTGCACTCTTTTCTCTCTTTCTTTCCTTATTTCTTCTTTTACGGGCGACACACGCGGATTCAGACACAAATGGATCTCTCTCGCTCAGTGATTCTCAACCTTTTCTTCGCATTTTCTCGAGAATGTTTTTAATCATGTTTTAATTTTTTTTGTTTATTCTCATCCATTTTTCTGGTTCATATCTCAAACAATGATTTCGCGATTAAAACGAATATTTGTTTAATAATCTCGAATCGATCGTTCTTCGATTGGAAATTAATCAGAAAAAAATGATGAATCAATTCTTCTTCGACTTGCCGATTTGCAGTTTGTTAATCTGGCAAAGTTGAAGCGATTGTGGAAAATAAACTTTTAAAATACGATTAAAGTGTGAAAAATATATCACCGATAAACAATGAACGTATACGCCCAATAAATTATATAATATATATAAGATAATATATAACCGAATGTAACTATAGAAAAAATTAAAAACTTCGTTGTTTTAGTTGATCTAAAATATATTGGGTTAAGGAAAAAGTCTCTTTTTATAAGTTATCTCGGTTTTTTTACTGAGAAATCACAGAAGTTCTACACCGATGAAATAATGACTCTACCCGAAAAATGGCAAAAGATCATCGATCAAAACGGCATATATTTAGTTTAATTAAAAGATTTGTAAATAATTAAAAAATTGTTTCAATTATGCTATATATAAAAGGATTTTTTCTCTAACCCAATAATATAGTGCATGTGTAATCTTCAAAATAAATTCAAGAATGTAAACATTCTCTCTTGCATATACGTCCTGTCAATTTTTTTGTTATATCGAAATAAACCTTATATTCATGATTCAAAATGTGCGTTCTACGCATATCCCCGGTTACAATTTGCGTCATAATTTTTAAACGCAATTAACGATTTATCAAGTTCGAGATTCTTCGAATGAAGTTTTTTGCTCCGAATGACGATCAGCTGATTCCGTGTTACATTTCGCTTCCAGAATATCCTGCCGTTCTTCCACAATTCTCCTCCGCTTCTTCTCTGGTTGTTCATCATCATCATTATCCTCTTTCATTTCTTCCTCGCTGGAAGGTAACTTTTCCTCGGCCATCAGACTCACCGATGTGTCAGCCCCTACGAAGTGTCCCCCTACTGCGGTTTTCAAAAATGTACATCCCTGACGTCTGTTGGCGTGCCCGCCTTCTCGTGTTCCAGTATTTTCTCCTGACTCGTGTTGTTCTGGTCCCCCAGCGGCCTCTGCGGTACGCTCGGAACTCCGGTACTCATTGTCTGGTGCCCGCTTCCGTTTCCGGGGACTTCGGTGCTCACGTGAGCGGCCTGTGAGATCATCTCTTCGATTTGCTCTAGGCAACCTTGCAAATAATCCTGGAACAAGGAAACAATTTCATAATATTGTAATTATACTTTACTGACACAGTTCTAATTATTCTAGAATTATATACTATGCATTTCTTATTTTAAATATCTTGTATGTTTAAATATCTTGTATGTTATATAAATAAAAAAAAAAAAACGTAAACGAATAAACCATTTTATAGAATTATTTTATCATCTAAAATGCTTCCTAAAAGTTTTTCTATTTAGCATTTAATTATTTTTATCTTTTTTATTTTTATTTTTTTATTTTTTTTGAATAATAAAATTAAGAACATTTTTTTACTGCGTTTAATTCGTTTTTCTTTCGTTCATTCTCGCGCGTCCAGTATGAATCATATTGTAGATCAAATTCTAACTTTTAACTTATACGATGAAGCAGGTTAAGATGTTAGGCGTTAATCCTTTCGGACTTAAAGATCCAAAAGTAGTCTGTATAGTTTGAAGTCATGAATGAAAGTCCAAGAAGACCGGATGTCGTCGAGGACGATATCTTCCTGGCTCTCTTGGGATCCAAACCGGCAGATGAGAACTGATCGTTGAAAATATTGCGCTTACGGGTCACGGACCCCATGCAGAGCTCCATTCATTCGCGCGGTTTGTTTGTGTTAAACGTACATAGAGAAAGAAAAAAAGGAAGAAAGAAAGGAAAGGAAGGAGAAAAGGAAAGGGAAAAAGGAAAAGAGACTGAACGGCGACCTCGTCGCCATCGTCTTCGACGACAAGCATACGGGGCCCGCAGTGTGCTCGGCGCAGACACTCCGGGTCCTCATTTTTTTCCTTCCCGCAAACATATGCCTGACACCTGCTGTACCCTTCCCGCGCACTTCCCGTCGCGCTTTTTGCGCCCCGCGAGGTCTGTCTCAACCAGTCGAGACTTGCGAAGGGCAAGTTCCAGCGTTTCTTGCCGATTTTGTGTCTCTTCGACGAGTCCGAATGCCAGACATCGGCGACGCGCATCATGACCTCCTCTCCTTACCCGATTGTAAAACTTGAAAATTTCATCGTTGCGCTCGTTCTAAAGTGCGTAAAGCCTATTCTACAATTGCAAAGCGTAGTTGTAAATGGTTCTAGTTGTGAGAGTTCACCAATCACAATCAAATGAGGAGAATATTCGAATATGATTGATCAATTTTTACAGCTACAACTACGCTTACAGCACAACCCTTACAGCACAAATACGTATTATACGTATTACACAAGTACGAATTATGCTCCTTTCCCATACAGAATTTGCAGTAATATTGCAGAGAATTTGCAGCAATATTACTGCAAATTCTGTATGGGAAAGGAGCATAATTCGTAATCTTCTTCGCTTTATTCTGCAACCAACACACACACACACACACACACACACACACACACACACACACACACACACGCACGCACGCACGCACGCACGCACGCACGCACGCACGCACACGCACACACGCACGCACGCACACTTCTGATACGCACGTTACTCACCTGTTCGATGGCCGTGATGCGGGTGAGCTCGTCCAGGAGACCAGCTAGTCCGTAGCCACTCTTCCCGGTCCAATCCAAACCGTGTAACGCTGCCGCTACACTTGCGGCTGCAATCATGCTCGGCGTGTACATGGAGAACTTGTACTCTGCAAAACAAAATTATTCATTAAAAACGTGCTCATATGAAAGATTTATACTGAACGTACGTTTCCTATAAATTTCTTTCACGTACATTTAGAATTCACGTGATATCACTTTGTTTATAATAAAGCAAGCAAAATTGTACATGACAATAATATGTAGCATAATTATAGAAAAATCAAGAAAAAAGTGAGTGCATTGCATGAAAGAAAACGAAGTCTTTTGTTGATTGATATTTGAATAAATAATAACTTTATCCAATATGGTCTATCTAAGTTGTAATTTTTGTTGAGTTTAACATCGAAAACGGATGTCAAATTCAAAATAATAAACATTTTGAACATTAATTGAAAATATGAGATATTTTCAACATATATTTATCTATAAACATCAAATAGATATACCATTATTGGGCGTAGTTACCTTATTAATATTTGATATGTAATATTAATAATGATTTTCTGTCTAAAATTGACTTTTGGTACATCTTTTTTAAGGATAATTTTCTTCACGAGCATTTATCTCGCTTAAGTACATTCTTCGTTATTTACTCCAGTTATGGTTAGCAAACAATGAAGAGAAGAAAACCACTTTCGTAGAGACTTCTTGGATAGTCCTCGAAATTATGTGACAGATTTATGAGGCGAGAACGGGCGGAACGTAGAGAGCACGTGATGGACCCTTTGTCCAGTAAGATGTTACTTTCGTTTCTTCAGGAAGAAAGTTCTAATGTTTCAACGTGAACACAAACGATCCTCGACGGATCCTCGATGGATATCGTTAACATCTGCGAGGGTCTTCTTGATCGGGCCGTTTTAATGGTATTCTACGATTTTCATAGTGTTGTAAAGTTATTACTGATACATTCTTAATGATCCTGATTCCAAGTTGCAAAAAGGAACAAAAATCACCTACATTATGTTTCTTAAATCGGAGCATGTGTATTCCAAGGACGAAAGATTTATGTATTTAAATGGATTTAAAATATAATATTAATTAATATTGAAATTTAAATAATAAAATTAAGGTATGATATTAGAGTTCAGATTCAAGATTTTAAAAAGACGTGAATAAAAATTATCATTCTAAAGTTTATTCATATATTTTTATCTATGTCCATATGAGCTGCTAAGATAAAATAGTTACAGTAATGCAGTTTTTATATAATATTTGTTTTATATAATACTCGTAAATTTTCATAAAAATAATTGGAAAAGTTTTGAATAACAAAATAAATTATTATATACATAAGGTTTGTTTTCTATAGCTGAAATATATTTTTAGAGATTAAAATAAAATAGATACATGTTAGATATTTGATTAAAACGGAAAAGAAAGTTCTAATGTAATCTAATGCAAGAATAAAAAACAGATCTATTAAACACTACACACGTATAACCAATGTTTACAATTACTATGTAAAGCGTTCTCTGTCTTATCAGAAATAGACTAACGGAACTATCATCTATTTTGTTGGAACGATTTCAAAATTGGTTGATAATTTCACCATTTTATTCTAAGCTTGAATATCATTCTAGCAATTTCTAAAGAATAACTATACTCAGTTAGTTATGAAAGTTGCTGAAAGTGTTCGAGAATAAATTTATACAATTTTAATGTAAAGAAAGTATTTATGTTCGATAAACTTACATAAAATAATCTGTATTAGATAAGATTTGTCAGAAAACTACACACGTTATCTTAGAAATACAAACGTGTCTGATGTGTCAATGTTCGTGTTATGCTTTGAGACGATCGTAGCTGATCGGTAATGAAATCGTCCGGGGAGAGAATGTCGCGATTATTAACTGTGAAATTAAGAGCGTGCACAACATGCACGTAAGACCAGTTTAATAAAGAACACGCGAAGAGTGTACGAGAGGAGACGCAGGGTGCGGAGATAGCTATGGAATGTGAGCATCAGACGAAATTATCGCGTTGCACCAGTACTTGTGCATACCGAAACTTAATCCCCGCGAGAGTGTTTAGCTTACATAATCAAAGCTATACACCTCGCGCCGTATCGTCACTTCCCGTCGCTCTTGACGATGCGACCGTATTCGTCGCCACCGTGTAAACAAATAATAATTCACGGTTACACGCTCGCCGCACCGAGCTTCAATGGGTTATCCTCTTTCCGTACCGAATCTCCTTGTTTGAAACATTCGCTTTCTAAATTAAATTCTTTTCTTATAAGATTAAGATATAAAAATCGTATAATTTTCATTGAAACAGTTATATAAATATAGGTATAATGTAGATGTTTAATCTTCCGGAATTAATATCAAAACATAATTTGTGACACAATTACTGACTCTGCAAGATTCCCATTTAATTTATGTTGATTAAAAGATACATTAATGGGTCAATTTTAAACAGAATTGTAAAGCTGGTGTAACTTATTCTCGTATAACTTGTAAGAATTTATGATTGATATCGTAATTCTATGCGTATATACGATTATTCATAAATATCTACGATTTTTCATAAATCTTATAGCTAGTAAGAAACTGTCTGTAAATATATTACATAAAATTATAAGCACTTGTAAGTTCTTATAAGTCTTACGAGAACATATCATAAGCCTTATAATTTTGCTTAAAATTGACTAATTTTAAGAAACCTCTGATAATTCATACAAAAGAATGAATATTAAATATATCTTGATAAGAATAATCTAAACTTTCAGATGTAATTTAGAGAAAATTGAATTCGATATTTTTAACAAAGAGATTTATAATTGAATGAGTTCAATAAACTCACTGTCAACTCTGAAAAGTTAATTCAAAAGCGCAATCTATAATATATAAAAAACAAAGCGCTAATACAAAAAGCGATAAATATTTAGAATATTTTAGAACATTTTTTCTGTGGTTTATATACAAGCTTCTAATGTTTTATAATCTATTTCACTGCGCAACTCTGCAAGCTATCCAATACACAATTGTTATTGAGGATTCGTATACACGTATTTTTCGTTGATTATTTATTCTCTTGACTGTCGATTTCGCGGAAAATTCAAGACGGCTTATCGTTTCGCTTTCTTTCGAAAAAGAAACGCGGAGTACCGAGAGCGGCTCTGCCTAGTTTGGTCCGTGAGAAACAATTCGCGATCTCATCCTATGTGTCCTCCTCTATTACTCTTTCTCGTTTTCTGTCTCGAACCCGCCGAGTCTGCGATCCAAAACGAGCATCAGGAGCAACGACGAAGGACGAAAGTCCTCTCTGCACGCCACCGCTTTTTTGCCATCGCGGTTGTAATAACAACCGGCCGACCGCGATCGACCGATGTGGACTTGCGGGATGAAGAATCGAGAAAGAGAGAGAGAGAGAGGAAGGCGTAAAGAACGACCGGAGCATCGGAGGAGGAGGAAGAAGAGAAAGACACGCGGGTTATACCGATGTGTCTACAGACGCATCTAGACATTTAAACGCATCTTCGATCTTTCTTATAGTCTCACGCTATCAGTCTATTTATTTCGTCCCGTACTTTCCAACGGATTTTCTCTCTCGTTGCGAATCAAGGACAATAGAAATGAATCATGAAGAATCCATACATAATATTTTGAGAAATGATTTTTTGAATTAAAAAGGTAGTAATTCAATTTTCTGTTATATTTCATGTGCTTTAAAAAGTAATAGAATTATAAAGCTTTACACAAATCCCTCGATTTATTTAAGCTTGTTTTTAAATGAAAAGATATTATAGATTATCGAGTTAAAAATTGTAATTCGCAAATGCAAAGATAGAATTCAAAGATAGAAAATCTTCAAGTCGTTTCAATTTTATGTAAGTTTCTTTTTAAATGAATTTAATTTAATTAGTTAATCTGAACACGCTCTATTTAAAAATTGCAAGTCGCCGTGATGTACGACAGAGATGTTAGAAATGCAGAAGACAACGAAAACGCAGTAAAATTCCAACGCCAGATTCCAGAGAAACCGTAGTCTCACGCCTAACGTGACTGGGCATTTAAACGCCCATTTAAACGTACGTAAAACATTTCAAGTATTCCTCGTACCTAACAGGGGCGCAGAATATCGAAATTTTTCTAGAAAAGTAGCATTTTCCGCATTTATCACATTCTGTTTTAGACCTTTTTAAATTTTTATTTTAAAGAAACTTCGAAATGAAAAAGGAACAAAAAAAGGGAACAATTTCTTCATGCGACGATGATAATTCTTACAATATTTTATTACTACTGTTGCCTATATTTATCCGTTATTATAACATTGTAATTGTAATATATATTATAATATAGTATATATTATTTTATAATAATATATATGTTATAAAATTTTTTAAATAATATATTTATATAAATTTATATATTTATTGGCTATTAGAATCAAATATATACTACATTTAGTAGAAGTATAATCTATTTTCTTAGCACAAATATTACAGAACCGTCGGAACCAGGTTTTACGACGCAACGATGACCGAACAATAGTAAAAATAGATAACACATGTCATCGTACGGAAAAACTTATACTTATTTTTATAGGACGCGCGCAGGGTCTTCCTCTCCTCCTTCGGAACTAATGAGTATGAACAGACGGAAGTGCAAATAACCATAATAACGGATTATCCTCCTAAGTGCGCATTTCCACTTATTGGCGCGCCTTATTGGCGACTTCGTCTGTATGTATATGCGTGACCTATTTAATAAAGACAAAGAAAGAGAGCAAGAAAGAGGGAAAGTAAAAAGAAAGCTATTCGTGACTGTTACGTGATAGTTTCCGCTATCGATGTACGCTCTACGACGCACGTTGGGGCGTAAATTCATTAATACATAGATATGTTAACGACGCACGATTGTTAATCGCCGATTGTTAATCGCCCCGCGTATCATATATGATAACGTGCAACAATGGCGTATAAAGAGCACATTTTTGTTAGAGAAGGCACTTGCCTCGTGTTCTCACTTACGCTCTACCTATATATTATCTCTCTGTTTAACTTATTTTTTATCTTTTTCTAGAATTCTTTTCTAGAATCTTTTTAAGCATTTATAGAGGTAAAAAAATTGATAAAAGATAAAGAAGTAAATAAACCGAGATTAAGGTTTAATCTATAGAAATCGATAGAAATGAATATTAAACATATTTGTGATGACCGTTCCGATATTTAGAAATGAGAATTACTCTGAACTCGAATAGAAAGAAATACGAATGAAGAAAGACTGGAAGATGCTTCTTCATTAATATAACAGTAACGCTGATAAGAATTGTAATTCCCTGCTGTTATTATCGACCTGTTATTAAATTCTATTAATTCTCTCGATAGTATATTAATCTGTTGTTCTCACCTCTGGCGCTGAGAGCGATGAAGGTCTGTGCGTGCCTCCGGACCATCACAGTGTCACAGGTGTGCGGCATCGACAATCTGCTGAGGATGTGCATTAGGAAGTCTCCGGGCGTCACCGCGGATAGTTCCCACTTCAGCTTCGAAACGACCAGCTGCTCCCACCTCTGCAATGAAAACGAGACAGATGTCGATTAACATCTCGCAATTAATACTATTCAAGCGAAAGGTGCGATAAAAAGAGAAGAACATGAATAATCTACATGAACAATCTGTAGGTGTTATGAAATTCTGATCAGCTCGTTATTTTTCTGGTTATTAAAAAAATTAAGTATTGCAATTATTTCGGACTAAAATCATCTGACGTAAATATCAATGCAATTTCAATTATATCAAAAGAAGAAGTTTAATCTAAGACATATAAATGTTCATTTACGTCAATGTAACGAATACATTAGTATGTAATAAATAAACATTTACGAATATATTTATGTGAAAGTGTTGAAATTGTTCGCGTTATTTATCTCTCATAGTTCTCCACAACGTGTACCGTTAGAATATCAGACGTGACGCGTGTATTATTATAGTAACGTAGTTGTTGGCATATACCTACGAATAATCGCAAGAGATTCAGAGAACCGTTAGAGTTTCCTTTTTTTTTACGAAAAGAAGTGGAGCAGTCCATTTTATCATAGCTATAGTAAGAAATGCATGGCTCGATTTAAATAAGTCCCTTTAAACGCGAGAGCATTAAACCATCTTTAATCGTCGATAATTATACAGGTGCGACGACGACGGCGACATCGTCAAAATTCAGGCTTGATCTCTGTCTCAAGTGTAAAATACAAGAAAGAAGAAAGAGGGGGAAGAGAGAGAGAGAGAGAGAGAGAGAGAAAGAATCTATCCTTTCTCTAGCGAGGCTACTACGTCCGCTCTTTCGAGTACGTCGTAGTACCCCCGTTCTCTTTCGACCGTGAAATTACATGGCGGGAGTAACGCACGACGAATACTACGTGTCCTTCGTCTTGATCAAAAGTCCATTGAATCTGGCTCGCCTCCCATCGCTCAGCTGTGACGAAACTGAGCAACGTGACTCCGTTTCAAGCACGAGAGAGCATATTGCAGAGAATCTTGAGCGATAAGAATAAAGAATGTACATTACTATAATAGATATTATATTCGTAATATATGCACTAACAAGTAAT